CTTCGACCTCGAACCTAATGGCGATGGCCTCCAACCTCGAACCTAATAGCGATGGCCTCCAACCTTGTAGACCAGCGAAGTGTAGATGTGAAAGTACAAGGTGTCCCACAGGGTCCCCGTGACGCATGTACTTGCACAAGGTCCAAAGCAGCAGGTCCTCTACATGTGCAAGAAGCAGTCCCCCAAATTGCAAGTCTAGAAGTAGTAGATGTAGGAGCAGCAAAGTAGCAGCTCTTGAGAAGTGGTATGTCTTGAGCTAATGTGTCTTTTCAACAGAAGAACCCCAAGAAAAAAGTGGGAAAAATAAATGAGAAAGGTAAGGTAAGGGTATGGAACGCCCCTTTAATGTGGCACAGCTTCTTTTTTTCATTTCTTGTTTTCTTAGGTTTCAGTGCACTCCCTCACCGTTTTGAGATGATCTAGAATCTAGGGGACAACCCTTGTCGCAAAACACCCACAGAGCGCTGCCATAGCACTGCCAGAGCGCTGCCTCTGCTCTACGCTGGGAGAATACAACAGCGCCGCAGTCGCTGCTTGCAAGTAACGTGGAACATGAACTAGAGTACTTAGAGTAGAAGGGAGCTGATGTGGCGCCACAAAATACCAGTCGCTGGCTTCTGGCGACACATGACGTACAAAGTATTCTACAAACACTGTGCCAAAAGGGTGAAGGCACCCCGACTAGTGATGCTACTAGTAACAAGTGCCACGCTACTAGTAACAAGTGCTTTACTAGTAGTAACAAGAAGCTATTAGAAACAATAAGCTACTAGGAACAAGTGCCACGCTTCTAGTAACACTTGTGGACCCTCTCATAGCAGAAACTCTTGCAACCGGAAACCCAATGAAGGCGTGGGTGCACCGCACCCACCGCACCTCCTTCCAAAAAGCTCTCTTCATTGCCTTGATGAGGGCCGGCTTCTCCTTCTGGAGCTCCACCTGTTCGTCAAAGCACAGGGCAGGACCACCTTCATCGCCCTACAAGGGTATATCTGCTTACTAAAAGAAACAGGTCGATACAGGTTGTCTTACCTACTGTCGCAAATATTGTGATACCATGAAGTACTAATACTATATATATATATAGCTGGCCGGGGTCAGCCACCTTTGCAAGCGCGACTGTCGGTCGCCCCACCCGTAGGCTGCTACCGCAAATGCAAACTATATTAATTAGACCTTTCTTCCATTGCGTCCGTGCTCCTAGTAGCGATGCCAGGAGCCCCTAAAAGCGTCCTTGTTCCTAGTAGTAAGGCCAGGAGCCCCTAGTAGCTTCTTGCTCCTAACTATATTAGACCTGTCTTCCTTTTTGTTTTCCTTTGTTTCTAATAGCGATGGCCTCCAACCTAAAAGCGATGGACGTGCCAAGCGAGTTGTCCAAGCTTCAAAGGGCTGGGGCTTGGGAAAGGGCGCAAGCAGTCTGACACTCTGACAGACTCTGGCACTTTAATTACTTTGCGCCTACAAGGTCCTTGTCTCCTTGTGATGAGCACGTCATTCTCTGCTTAAACTGTAGCGGGCTCAAGGCTTTCAGGTTACAAACAATTCTTGACTGCTTCGGGCTTCTTGCGCAGTTGATTCATGCGGGGAGGCCCACGCCCGAAGCAGATGGACTTAAGCGCCCTTTCCTCTCGTTGCAAGCCTGCAATTTGGCAGCGCGGATTAAATGATTAAGTGGAATAAAGTGTGAAAAGCATCAACAAGCGTACTGTCGAAGTGTCTGAGACTACGAAGTGAAAAGGACCCGTCAAAACCAGGAACCAGAAGCTACTAGGAACCCGGGCATCGCTACTAGGAGCAAGGACGCTACTAGGGGCTCCTGGTCTTACTAGGAGCAAGAAGCTACGCCGCAACAGAGCGCAGAGTCACACATGGAATCCAACTCGAGTGATTGAAAGAGGCCTGCCAATGCTGATCCAGTCGCTCCAGCTGTCTTGCTGCCACGTTCTTCCGCGTTAGAGGATAAACATCAGTGGGCTCCAACTTCCCGTTCTCCTCACAAACAAACGGGTAGGAACAAGGACGCTACTAGTGGCTCCTGGCCTTGCTACTAGGAGCAAAGGGCATCGCTACTAGGAAACACATGGTTTTGCACGGCAAAAGACTGCCTGGTCACGTCGAAAGGCTAAGTCGACAATGGGTGTAAACCAGCTGAAAGCCTCAGCCACGCACAACGAAAAGCGCTGACAAGGACAAGTTTGAAAAAGAGTGAAAAACAGTTGCCCAGCACAACATTAGTCAAATTAGCTCAACTATGCTCAACTTAAAAATGCGGGGGGGGAAGGTCGGCCACAAACGCCTGTGCGCTGGGCACGTCACATCAAATTCAGCACTTGCGTGGTCAACAAGGCAAGTTGCCACCGCAAACAATCAAACATATGAGCTTCTGACCAGCCAGCCCAAAGCCCCAATGTTTTCCTGAAGAATACAAAGCTAGACCATCGCTTGTAGTGGAGGCCATCGCTCTTAGAATGGAGACCTTTCCTATTACTGTAACTTGTGTGTTAAGTGAGTGATCTTCAAGGCAGCTCCTCTGGTGAAGGGTCGCGTGTACTGAGTGTCCTCTCCTTGGACAAACAAGTGGTAGGAGTTACTTGCTACTGATTACTTACTGCTTACTATGCTGGGGAGCCGGCAAAAAGGCCTTCTTCCAAGTTGCAGGTTCGATCCATGCTTCCAAGCCGCAATTCGGCGAATTAACAAGTCCGTGACAAGACAAACAAGACAAACAAGACAAGTCTTGGATTCTTTATTTGCCTTTGTTTGCTCTCTTGTTTGCTCTGTCGCCAGTCTTCGAGTCTTTGAGCCACTAGCCACACAAAAGGAATGCTCTGAAATGATTGGAATGCACTCAGCGTCCAAGAGGAAATAAGAAGTAGCTACTACAGCTACTAGTAACAAGAAGCTATTAGGGGCTCCTGGCATCGCTACTAAGAGCAAGGACGCTTCTAGGGGCTCCTGGCCGTACTACTAGGAGGAAGTAGCTACTAGTAACAAGAAGATGGAAACAACAAACGCAGCGTCCATTTCAATGCCAAGCTCTGGACATAAGAATTGAGTTGGTCAGGCTCCTGTTGGCCCAACCCATGTTCGAACTATTTTGGCTTCTCTTGTTGAGAAGTTGGTCAGGAAGAGCACGAGCACACTCACGCCTGCAGCTTCCAAAGCGCCCTTAAAAGGAGCTACTGTTAGAGCTACGGTTGGAGTCCGGTTGGAGGCCATCGCTTTTGGTAGATGGCCTCCAACCTAGTAGCTATGGCCTCCAACCTAAGAGCGATTGCCTCAACCTAAGAGCGATGGCCTCCAACCTAAGAGTGGCGATCGCCTCCAACCTAGTAGCTATTGCCTCCAACGTGCTAGCGATGGCCTCCGACCTGATAGCAATGGCCTCCAACCTCTGACATGGTGTGACTCTTCTTCAGAAATACCTTTCCTTCTTCGGCTTGAGGATGACGAGTCTCGCAGTCTGCACATGGTTGTTGATTGAATTGGAAATGGGTTCATTCCTCAGTTGCATCACTCATGTCGTCTCGTGTGCGAAAGATTAAAGCATTTGATTGACACAGACTCACATGATTTCCCTTTGCATTTCAATCCAAGTCTTCCATCCTGAGTGAGACACTCAATAGTCTCGAAGCAATCTGCTCTCGCAATGATTCGTTCCAGGTCTTCCTTGTGGAATAACACTGCTTTGCTGTGCTAGCCCAAAGCAAGGCTCCGACAATCAGGCTGGCATCATTTGTTGAAAACATAATAGGTTGTCAGTCACATTGTGCAGCTCACCAGACAACAGGCACTTTTACAGTTTGCAACAACTAGGCATTTTGATCCGATGCAGTTTACACCCAAGTCAAGCGCCTCAGTTGTCAACTGTCCAAAGTCGATTGTTGTAATGTACTTCATCCTGCCACACAGGCGATGTTGGAGGCCATCGCTCTTAGGTTGGAGGCAAACAAAAAAAGCACACACACAAACGCACATGGCGATGTCAGTTGAATGTCGAGTTCAATCAGCCGGTTCGCAAAGGCTTGATGAAAGCCATCAGGGGAGAATGCTTTTTCTGAAAGGTCCTCAGCGGCAATATGTTTGCTTTGCAGTATGGGCAAACAAAATAATACGAAAACCTGTGACTGTGGATCAGGCTGGGTAATGAAAACGCGGCCACCGCTCTTCATGAGAGGCAGCACTGGGCGACGCACTTGTTACTACTAGCTTCTTGTTACTACTAGTAAGGCACCTGTT